ATTAAAATCGGATTAAAATTGAAAATATAGCCGTTATTGTTGATTTTTATTAGACGAGTGGAACCCAATAACGGCCATATTTTCAATTTTAATTGGTTTTTAATCCCTCCCGAACAGGGCCTAAAATTCTTTGGTATACAACCAAAAGAAAATGGAATAAATATATTTCCCATCTTTTCGTGTTTTGTGCACCAACAATCACACGTGGGTGACATGGAGTAGCAAGTTAAGGTCACGCTACTTCCAAGAACAATAATGCTCGCCAAAATTTACTATAAGTTATCTGGGATATTGAATCTTGCTACCTTACAAATATTTTATTTAACATAGCTTTATATGTTTCACAACAGATAATTTAGTTTAATCTACGAGAAAATCATGCTACATATACAAAATGAATTGCTTGCAGTGCATGTTTTGGAGGCAACTGTAAAAGTATTTTGTACAGAAAAGGAAACACAATGAGTAGAGATGCAAAGAGTATGACATGGTAGAAGACAATGTGAAAAGAAATATCAAGTATTCGGCCAATAAACAGTGTTTCAAGAAGGGATAGCAAAAAATCTGTTTAATTCGAAACTTGTGGGCCCCATCCCGAACGGTGCAAGGATTACCCACCTAATCGGGTAAACGGGGCAACACGACGGGGAGAGGATCATTGCCCCGAATCGGGTATTGGGCGGGGACGAGAATCATAGTCCTTGCCCAGCTATCCGTCCCTTTTAAAGTTAATTTTAAATTTAAGTTTTTTATTAAATAAAAATAATATATTTATTATATTTTTAAAAAGAAGACAAGTTGTTTTCAACAAATTGGTAAAAAAATAATAATATTTACTAAGTAAATATATAAAATAAATAAAAAATAAATGGGGCAGAGACTTGCCTCACCACACCTCTATCTCGCTCCGTCCCGTTTTAAATGGGTATGAGAATGTGGTAAGGTAACAAAAATATCCGATGGGACGGGAGTGGAAATGGCCGACTCGTCTCATACCTGCCCACCACACCTCTATCTCGCTCCTCCAATTATGCAACAACATGTTTTGATTTCCTTGTTCCCTTAACATATCTTTCTCTACCATTAAATTAAGAACTTCTGTTGGCATGTGGAATAAATAAAAAGTTCGAGCCACTAACTTAAAAGTATATATTTTAATTAAAATAGAACAATTGTTCTAGAGTGGCATTCTTAAGTTAGCATTCAAGGCGGGCCTCGAATTAGAAGAGTGGCACTTAAACCGATGATATCTACACGGGATGGTGTAAACTCACACCTTTATATGATCTTCGAAAAACACGGACTTGTCTCAAAAATGTAAATAAATCAAATATCAATGAGTTCCTATAACCAAAACTGAACCCAACGGAGCTACAGTTAACACAATGTCTTTTCTAATCTAACTAAAAGATTTGTTAGATATTTATACAATAAATATAATATGTGAAAGAAATAATTAATTCAGATGAAGTGCCCAATTGGTGAAAAGTGTGAAATTTGTGTGGGAGATGGAGGGTTCAAGTCATACCTCACGCATTATATTAAAAGTCTTTGATNCATAATTTCATATCATTTCTTTTAGTTACATTGCATAGAAACACTTTGTAAAAGTGTTATTTACTTGCATAAAATGGTAGAGAGAAAATTGTGTTAAGAGTTTGTTTGTCTATGTAATTTGGAGTGCTCCTATTGCGAGACGTGGTCATTGTATTTTGGGAGACGATTGTCGAAAAACTATTATCTTAGGAGAAAGTGTCAAATACTTGTCTCGACCAATCCAATCGCTTGCGTTTCCTACTTTATTTTTTGATTTCTTTGAATTTGAGATTTGATTTAAGAAAAAAATAACTATTCTTTTGATTATAAGAAATGTTTTTTGTCAAAGAATGGAAATTATTAAATTTACGTCACGTATTCGGCTTCAGTAATTATCATTTCATTTTTTCAAATTCTATTTTGGTAAGTCGAAAGTATGTTCGATCTTGCGCAAGTAAAATATACGTTTGAGAATATAATTCATGCACGTTATCGATGTAATATCTCTAACGCCTTATGGAGTCCTAATTGAAATTTTAGCTGCAAAGAGAAAGGCACCAATCAATCCTTGCCTTACTAATCTTTAACATAAGAAAAAAAAAATCACCACTTTACTGCTTTAATTAAAGTGAGGATTTATAACAAATATGGATGGAGACCAATGCAAATGTATCAAAGAATGCAAAATCAAAACGTCTTTTTCCCTCTCTCTTTCATAATTATTGCATTAGTTTAATGGGTGGATTTATTAATTTGAATCATTCTTGCCTTGGATATGAAAACCAATATCACAAGAAAAATGCTATTCATCCCCAATGGTGATGCATTCTCAGTCTATGTGAATGTAAATGATTGGTTAAATAATAGGTGTAATTCAACGACTTATTTAATTTCACCTAACATTTAATGACATATTAACGGCACATAGATTAGGGATGCATCCCCATTGGAGATGAATAGCATTTCTCATATCATAATCATGATTCATTACGTATGTGCATTAATAATTAAACCGCAAATAATTGATATTTGCATTAATCAACTCAAATTCATTCTCTTAGAGATGATCTGTACAAACTCAAATAGCTAAAATCCTTTATTATCTGTGTCTCTATCTCATGTGAAAAAAGAATATTTATACTAGCTTATAAAAATAAAATTTCCTCAATTGTGAGGGGACTAATAATTAATAGATTAATTACATTCGCTTTAGCTTTAATATAACTATTCTTGCAATTTTCATGTCCAAAATGTTCTTGATATCAGAACATTGAAAATATTTACATGGAAAAAAATTATAAATTATTATCCTACAAATATTTATCACTTTTTTTGTCCGATGAAAACACAATGTACCGTACTTAATTGTAAAAAATAATTTCTTCTTCTTAATGTTCATTCAATTCCTCTTTCTACTTTTTTTTAATTAGGTTATGATAAACTGATTTACTTTTACAAGCTGTTAACATAAAAACATAAATTAAAATTCATAATTCAATGATAGTGCAACATAAATTATTTATCCCAAATTACTAATTCACAAATCACAATTCACAGATTCTCAAATTGCCACTCATAGAACATAAATCATGATTCTTAAGTAATGATAATCATAACTCATAAATAAAAAATAATCCCAAAACCAAAAAAAAAAAAATGAAAAAAAGAAAGAGAAGAGTCATAAATCTCACGGCTCAAATTTACAGTCACAACGGCATCGCAGTAGCTAGCAGCACTAAGAGCCTATTTCCGACCTTCCGGCTTCCGATCCAGCACTGGTGCAGGCATCACCAGGGGCGGGTGGAAGTGGGGAATCTTGTAAATTTGTGGAAAATGAAATGGAACCGACCTAGGCGAATTACTGAAAACAGACCGTTGAGCCTGGACCATATATATCATTTATTTTGGCTGAAAAGCATAGGTCCAACTACATTAAATTATAACTTCAAGCTTCAGCCCAACCACATGCAAAGGCCCATTCAAAAAAAAAAATGAAGAAGAAGAAATAGGAAGAGGAAGCCTTTGCCAGTGCCGGTCTTCTTATTTCATCCCCGTGCAATGTTCCGGTGGAGCCCAACACGCGCAGCCGCCCCCCCCGCCCCGCCCCGCCCCGCGTCAGGTGCTGCATCCACCACTAATCATATAGAGAAATGGAAGTTAACCAAAAATGAAAAGATATATATCTTTTTTGTTATACAAGTGGGATATCAGTGTAACTCATGACCAATTAGAATCCCAAAAATGTGATTTGACCTCTTTTTTTTTCACATTCTACAATTATCCACATAATATAGTCAGAAATGGGAGATTTCCACTTGAGCAAACAAGAAAATCTATTGATAGAAAAAACAAAAACACTCACTCAAATCGTGAAATGAATTTAAATGAGATACTACGTGTTGGGAGGAGATCAACAGATTAGCTCAAGATCAAACAAATAAACGGAAACCAAAAATACCAATAATCAGAAAACTGAAAGCCTAAAACATTAAACAGCAAACTTAAACAAGAAACCAACACAAGAAATTATTGAAGACGAAGTACAGGAACTTATCTTTCGCA